GTGGCCGGGCGAGGGCAGCAGCGGCTGCTCGGCGAAGACGCACGGTCCAGTGTGAGCTGGGCTGGGCGCTGCGATTGACTCAGCAAGACGCCCCACAACCACAGAGCAACGCCTTCCTGCGCTCACCACTCGCTCCTTAACTCTTCGCACGGCCAGCGCCCGGCGCAGTTCCCTTTTCGCCGGGCTGGGGTTGCATTAGGGAACTAGCCAGCGGTTCTCAAGGGGCCAGGCCCTTTCCCGGAAGGGGCACGCTGGCAGGCCTTTGGTAATTGCTCAAGCCCTAGCACAGCCAGGCACCCAAAGGCTGGGTGCAGCCCTTTGACCCTAGGGGCCCTTTGGGGCTGGCTAGTGCATGGGTGGGGAGCAGGGGGGTTGCTGAATCTGAGCACGTCCCCCAGCACCAACCTCACCCAGCTCTGTCCCGTCGCCCCCATGTTGTCCCCCAGGCTCTGCCCCGGGGGCTGCTGCCCTGTAGCTTTGCTCAGGTTCCTGGTGAGGCAGTGCCCAGAGCCACAGCTGGGTTCGACCGAGCCTGGCTAGGGCTGTTCATGCCATGGAGTTGAGCTAGATCCAGCCTGGCAGCGTGCCGGGGGGGTTCTAGGCCTGCCCCCCCAGCTTCAGTGCCCCCTAGCTCCAAAGTCAGCGCACAGCCCAAGTCCTTCCACTGATCTGCCCCTGCCCCAGAGCCCTGCCAGGCAGGTTCACAGATAATCACAACCAGGTGGGGGCTAGACCCGTCTCCCTCCCTCCCTGCAGCTGCCTCAGCGCCCTCTGCCAAGCCCCACAGACAGCCTTGTGCCCTCTCCGCTCCTCTGCGGCTGCTCCCCGGACCGGTGCAGCTGGACTGGGCTGCTCTGCGCCGGGCAAGAGGACTTTCAAGGGAAAAATCAAGCCTTTTAATTGTTATAATCGTGCCCCACCCCAAAGGGCCGGAGGTGGTTGATAGGGGCAGAAATCCAAGGCTGAGGAGATTGAGGGGGTGGGGGGAAGCCCAGGGCCAAGGCGATCCCCGTGCCTGCTGAGCTGGAGCAGCTGGCAGTGCCCCTCTGAGCAGCAGCAAACCTCATCTTAACTCCCTAGGGAAAAATCAAGCCTTTTAATTGTTATAATCGTGCCCCACCCCAAAGGGCCGGAGGTGGTTGATAGGGGCAGAAATCCAAGGCTGAGGAGATTGAGGGGGTGGGGGGAAGCCCAGGGCCAAGGCGATCCCCGTGCCTGCTGAGCTGGAGCAGCTGGCAGTGCCCCTCTGAGCAGCAGCAAACCTCATCTTAACTCCCTGCTTATGTCACTCAGAGCGGCTGTACGGCAGCATCCACCTGCAGGGCTCAGAGGAAATGCTGTGCAGGGCCAGAGGCGTTTGCATGGCCCTGCAGCGCTCCCGTTCCAACAGGAGCATGGGGCGCTCCCCTGCCCAGCCCTGGGATGGCCAGAGAATCCCCCCTCCCTGCCAGCTCCAAAAGAGGCCCCGGCCCTCGGAGCAGAGCTGGCACAGCCGGGGGGGGGGGGGGGGGGGGCG